CCAAAACTCTTTTAGAGGGCAATCAGTGTCCCGTGGGCACTTCAAAGCACTTTTTAAAAAGAGCTTTTGTGTACAGTTTTTTTGAGTTGGAAAGACCCGCTGGTCCAGGCTGCAGGAGAGGAGTGGGATTTGGAGGCAAAAAAATTCACCTTAATGAAGCTCATGTCCCCCCATAAAGTCCCCTGCCCCGCTGTAGGATGACCAGGGGCATTGTCAAAAACCCGGAGGCATTAAGGTCTAATTTTTTTTCATTAGGTAATCTTTCACATTGGGGGCAAAAAGCATGGGGTAAACCATTTTTTAAAAAAATTTCCCCATGACCCATGCCTTACTTTTGCCCTCCACAGCAAACAAAATTTTCCTTAGGACATTCTTTTGCCCGAACGCCCGGGAGTTTCAGAGTGAACACTAATAAAGGCTTTAAATTTGCAATCACCACTAGCATTGGCACACATCAAAAAAGTAACCTGCTTTCATAGCTTATGTCCTGGGGGTGCCTTTTCCTCCTGAGTAATGTAGGGCCTGCTTTGGGATTTTCTTCCCGAAAAGGGCCCGTTTCATCACAATTTAAAAACTTGTTTTAGTTTCAGTCCCCTTTAGTTTCTATGTACTCTTGAATTCATGCCATATTTTTTTAGCCCCTTGTGGTCCCAATGGCAGCCTCACCATGCCCTATCACATATGGATGCCACTCGCTTTTTAAATCCTCAAACCAACCTTTGCTGGGCCCTTTAAATTTACTCACATCTCACTAGTTTTTCAGGGATTTTTTTTAAATTAAAACGTCAGCAATTCCTAGCCTTTTTTAATATGATCGCTTGAGAGACGTATCTCCTGCTAGCTGTTTCCATTTATCACACAATAAGAGTCTCTCACATCTTCATCACTTGGATCTTTGTTTCGAAAACACAGTTAACTTTGGCAAACAACGTTTCTTGATTGCCGTTTTCTTGCCACAATAGAAGAGATGGTTGATTTTGGTTTCTTGTACAACTGACCAGGTCGGTGATCGTACTCACTTTCAAAACTTACAATGATCTTTCTTATTTCAATGGGAATCCTAACCATTGCTGTAGGGTTGGAACTAGAAGCTTCTTGGGGCCCTATGGTCCTTATTTTCCAAAAACCCAAAACACTTAATAATACGAAATATCCGATGTATGCTTGATGTTACCGCGGAGGCTGGCTGGTAAAACAATGGCACAGGCGGACATGTGAGGCTGGCTGAGGGCGCACATTGACGGTCTGGGAGAAGGCCGCTGAGCGGGTTTTTGTCACTATGCGGGCAAAATTTTAGGAACAAAGCGTCCGCTATGTGGATTGTCCTTGAATAATGTATAGTCACAAAGCGCTTGGAATTTTCTTATTTTCAGAGTGGTTGTTTTGCATATTCTGAAATCAATGTTTACTGTGATGTATTGCATGCATCATCATGCATGCATGCATGCATATATATATATATTATATATATATATATATATATATATATATATATATATATATATATATATATATATATATATATATATATATATATATATATATATATATATATATATATATATATATATATATATATATATATATGAGTGTAAAACGAAAGCCTGTAATTGTTTTACATGATGGTAGGATTGCTGATGTCTTTTGTCTGTCTCATAAATATGCAAGATTACAGGTATGTCTTGCTACTTCTACTTACACTTAGGCCACACTACACATACATGTACACATTTATTTATACACACTCATCTGAGTTTTCTTTGATTTTATCTTAATAGTTCTTGGTCTTATTACTTTTCCTTTTATATCCATGGGGAAGTGGAATAAAAATCTTTCCTCCGTAAGCCATGCGTGTTGTAAAAGTCAACTAAAATGCCGGGAACAATGGGCTAGTAACCCCTTTTCCTGTAAAGATTACTAAAAAGAATAAGAAGAAAATTGTCAAAGTGTGAAGTCTGAATGTGTGTGGATGTTGTGCAAATGATAAGAAGTTTGGGTGGTAAATGCAGCAGTGAGGAGTCGGTTGGAGGCAGTGGAGATGTCCTGTCTAAGCGCAATGTGTGGTGTAAATATTATGCAGAAAATTCGGAGTGTGGAAATTAGGAAAAGGTGTGGAGTTAATAAAAGTATTAGTCAGAGGGCAGAAGAGGGGTTGTTGAGGTGGTCTGGTCATTTAGAGAGACTGGATCAAAGTAGAATGACATGGAAAGCATATAAATCTATAGGGAAAGGAAGGCGGTGTAGGGGTCGTCCTCGAAAGAGTTGGAGAGAGGGGGTAAAGGAGGTTTTGTGGGCGAGGGGCTTGGACTTCCAGCAAGCGTGCGTGAGCATGTTAGATAGGAGTGAATGGAGACGAATGGTACTTGGGACCTGACGATCTGTTGGAGTGTGAGCAGGGTAATATTTAGTGAAGGGATTCAGGGAAACCGGTTATTTTCATATAGTCAGACTTGAGTCCTGGAAATGGGAAGTACAATGCCTGCACTTTAAAGAAGGGGTTTGGGATATTGACAGTTTGGAGGGATATGTTGTGTATCTTTATACGTATATGCTTCTAAACTGTTGTATTCTGAGCACCTCTGCAAAAACAGTGATAATGTGTGAGTGTGGTGAAAGTGTTGAATGATGATGAAAGTATTTTCTTTTTGGGGATTTTCTTTCTTTTTTGGGTCACCCTGCCTCGGTGGGAGACGGCCGACTTGTTGAAAAAATATATATATATCCACCCTTCTGGATTTTCTTCTATTTACTTGCTAGCTCTTGTTCTTGTTTATTTCCTCTTATCTCCATGGGGAAGTGGAACAGAATTTTTCCTTTGTAAGCCATGCATCATCCTACATCCTATCCTACACTTGAAGATCTGCAAGCTATTTTAGTTCCACATGTCATAAGAGGAGACTAAAATGCCGGGAGCAAGGGGATAGTAACCCCTTCCCCTGTACACATTACTAAAATTATGAAGAGAAACTTTTGTTTTTCTTTTTGGGCCACCCTGCCTCAGTGGTTTGTTGAAAGAAGTGTAGTATTGTAGTTTACATACATGTATATTTATTTTTTCTTCTGAGCATCGAGCAGGCTAGTGTATGTTAGATAAGAGTGGTTTTTAATGGATGTGCTGTTGGAGTGTGAGTAAAGTAACTTTTATGAAGGGATTCAGGGAAACCAATTAGCCAGATTTGAATTTTGTAGGTGGAAAAGGATGCCAGTACACTTCTGGCAAGACAGTGGTTGAATGACTGTTTTTCATTTTATTGTGTCACCCTGCCTTGGTTGAAGGCAGCCACTCAAATAAAAGAAATTAGTTCTATTTTTTTTGCAATAGCCATTTCTCACCTAGGAGGGAGGACCCAAAGAAGGACACACATTCACTATCATTAATTCAATATCTGTCTCGCCAGAAGTGCAAGGAAATCACAATTTGTGGCATGCAAAGAGTACGTAACCTTTATTTGGCGCATGTACACACCCTCATTTACAGGCTATCTCCCCCAACCAGCGAACCAGGGAACTAAGGGTTGGTGATGGGGCCCCGTCGTTCAACCAGTACCCAGGTTCCAGCCAATGATTAGATGGTTTTGGCAATCGCAGAGGTTATGTGGGTACCACTCTCCTGTCTGCCCCTGTCATTCCCATTCTAGAGCTGGCTGAAGCATGGTCTGTTCTCTAGTGGCTTCTATTCTGCCTTGCTTACCGTGGAGTGCACTAATACCTATTGTTGTACATAGTGTACATACTTCTGTTCTAAATTGGTGAAGGATAATATAAGTCAAAAGTTTTCTGCTGTGTTTATTTTGCTCCCTTTACACCCAGGATAACAGGCCTTTGGGACTCCTGGGTTGTAATACAATTCAAATTTAACTCTGAATTGCAATATTTCCACCTGGGCAGGAAGTACAACACCTGCACTCTAAAGGAGGGATTGGGGATATTGGCTGTTTGGAGCAACATCTAACCTGTCATATCTAGGTGCCTCTGCAAAGATGGTGATTGTGTGAATGATGGTGAAAGTATTTCCTTTTTTGGGTCACTCTGCCTTGGTGGGAGATGGCCAACGTATTAAAAAAATTTTTTTAGCACACCATGGGGAAATGGAGAGGAATCCTTTTATTAAGCCATGCGTATCATAAGAGGCTACTAAAATGCTGGGAGCAAGGGGCTAATAACCTCTTCTGTATAAATTACTAAATGTAAAAAGAGGAAAAACTTTTGTTTCTTCTTTTTCGGACTACCTTGCTTCAGTGGGAGAGGGCCAATATGTTAAAAAAAAATATTAGCAAGGTAACATTTATGAAGGAATTCAGAGAAGCTAGTAACTGGACTAAAGTTAGAGATACAAGTAGAGCCTGCACTTTGAAGGCTAGGTAGGGATCTACAGTTCAATGGATGTTCTTTCACTTTTGGAAGGCAGCCAGTGATGGCGACTTTGTTTTCCTTCCTGGAAGGGAAATGGCAAATACGTTTAAAAGAATTATAACAACTCATTCCCAAATAATTTAGATGCAAACTAGAAAAGAAAAATGCTGATATAGGTGAAATACGAATATTCGAGCACAAACCAATGTCGTTTCCTTAAATGAACAGGAATAATGTCTTGCTTTACTATTCACGAAAGGTCTTAAAGGACGTAAACAGCTAAAAAACTGATGCACAGCAGAAATATTCTGACAAGTGATGCTAGCTCATTTAATTAACTGAAAATTAATGGCCTTTTGAAATCGAGCAGGTAGAGAAATGCTCAACATGTCAGTGAGGAGAGAGAAAAAAAAATCCATTCATCTTATAATACTGTTTCTCCTACATACTACTGGTTTGTGAAAGTATGTAATATAACTGATACATTAAAATAATGTTTTTTATTAAATATAATGTCAAAGGACTTCTATAAAATGAAAGATATAACAATGTACATACTATTGTACTTTTTCTATATTGCTCTACATACACAAAAAAGAATGAATACAAAACTAACAAATAAAAGAAATTATGAGATTTGGAGAGAAACACTCTATAACTAATTACGTATCAAGCTCACCATTTGCATTCCAAGCAGAGATTGCAATGACGGTAGGATCATGCAGAACAGGCAAGATACTTGCAGAATATGCCATAAAATCTGGGGCCAAAAGCAAACCTTCCTCTATTACTGTCACATAAGATGACCCAGGAAAGAGTCCATAGGCAGTTTCAAATGCCACTGCCATTATCCCTGAAATATAAAAAAAAAGGTTCTTTACGTTAAAAATTGAAGATATAAAATTTATTATAAAATAACCTGAGTTTGCTTACAAAATATAGTGTACAGTGGACCCCTGCTTAACGATCAGCTCCCAATGCGACCAATTATGTAAGAGTATTTATGTAAGTGCGTTTGTACGTGTATGTTTGGGGGTCTGAAATGGACTAATCTAATTCACAATAATCTTTATGGGAACAAATTCATTCAGTAATGGCACCTGAACATACTTCTGGAATGAAATAATATCGTAAAGCGGGGGTCCACTGTATTTTAGAACACACAATGAGAATACAAAGTGCAGTAAACACTCGTCAGTGGTACAAGCAAACCCACATGGAAGAAATGAAGGGAGATTCCTTGATGCTGATAAGAACATAACATAAGAATGGAGGAACAGTGCAGAAGGCCTACTGGCCCATGCAAAGCAGGTCCTTATCAAAACAACCTCTACCTAGATCTACCCAAGAAATAACTCCTGTACCCAATGACTCCAATCAAACCCAGCCCCTCCCACTCATATATTTGCCCAATCTCTTCTTAAAGCTACCCAAGGTCCTAGCCTCTATCACCCAACTGGGAAGATTGTTCCACGCATCTACAACTCTGTTAGAAAACAAGTACAGTGGACCCCCGCTTAACGATCACCTCCAAATGCGACCAATTATGTAAGTGTATTTATGTAAGTGCGTTTGTACGTGTATGTTTGGGGGTCTGAAATGGACTAATCTACTTCACAATATTCCTTATGGGAAAAAATTCGGTCAGTACTGGCACCTGAACATACTACTGGAATGAAAAAAGTTCGTTAACTGGGGGTCCACTGTACTTACCTATGTCCTTTCTAAATCTAAATTTATCCAACTTAAATCCATTATTTCTGGTTCTTACCTGGTTTGACACCCTCAGTACTTTATTAATGTCTCCCTTGTTTATGCCCGTCATCCACTTATACACTTCAATGATATCTCCCCTCATTCTACGCCTCTCCAGAGAGTGGAGATTTAAGGCTTTAAGTCTATCTTCATACAGGAGATTCCTTACACAGTAAATCATTTTAGTCATTCTTCTCTGTATGTTCTCTAATGAGTCTATATCCATCCTGTAGTAAGGGGACCAAAACTGAGCAGCATAATCTAAATGAGGCCTCACTAGTGATGTATAGAGCTGTAAAATAACTTTTGGACTTCTATTACTTAAAACTTCTTGAGATAAATCCAAGTAATCTGTTAGCCTTGTTGCGCACACTAAGGCACTGCTGTCTTGACTTTAGATTTCTGCTTACCATGACTCCCAAGTCTTTTTCACATTCTGTACGATCAAGCTCTACTTCACCTAGATTATAGCTTTGAGGGTTATTTTCATTACCAAGGACTAGTACCTTACATTTATCCACACTGAACTTCATCTGCCATTTTTCAGACCAGGACATTAATTTGTCCAAATCCTCCTGGAGTTCATTGCTATCCTCCTCAGAATGAATTATACGGCCTATCTTTGCCTCTCATGCTGATGAGGGGCTCTTGTTCCAAGGAAGCGTATTCTTCCTCATCTTCCTATTATCAAACATCTTTACATGATACTAATCAATTAAAATTATTTGGCCTATTGTAAGAAAGGATATGTAATAAAATGCAAGCAAGTGGCTGTTCAGTAACATTTTTTTTGTTTTAACTCGTTGGCTGTCTCCCATGAAGGCAGGATGAGACACAGACAGACAGACACACTTGACCCCTGCAACCACAACTGAGTGAGTGAGTGAGTGAGTGAGTGAGTGAGTGAGTGAGTGAGTGTGTGTGTGTGTGTGTGTGTGTGTGTGTGTGTGTGTGTGTGTGTGTGTGTGTGTGTGTGTGTGTGTGTGAGCACACACACACACAAGGTGGACAAAGACAGGATGTTCCAGGGAGGGGACACAGAAACAAGAGGCCACAATTGGAAGTTGAAGACACAAATGAGTCAGAGAGATAGTAGGAAGTATTTCTTCAGTCATAGAGTTGTAAGGCAGTGGAATAGCCTAGAAAATGACGTAGTGGAGGCAGGAACCATACACAGTTTTAAGACGAGGTTTGATAAAGCTCATGGAGCGGGGAGAGAGAGGGCCTAGGAGCAACCGGTGAAGAGGCGGGGCCAGGAGCTAGGACTCGACCCCTGCAACCACAAATAGGTGAGTACAAATAGGTGAGTACACACACACAGGATGTTCCAGAGATTGGACACAGTAACAAGGGGACACAGTTGGAAGTTGAAGACAGATGAATCACAGGGATGTTAGGAAATATTTCTTCAGCCACAGAGTAGTCAGTAAGTGGAATAGTTTGGGAAGCGATGTAGTGGAGGCAGGATCCATACATAGCTTTAAGCAGAGGTATGATAAAGCTCATGGTTCAGGGAGAGTGACCTAGTAGCGATCAGTGAAGAGGCGGGGCCAGGAGCTCGGACTCGACCCCTGCAACCTCAACTAGGTGAGTACACACACACACACACACACACACACACAAAACCTCTCTGTGAATCAAGGTTTTGCATGTGACCTCGCTTGTCACATGCAAAAAAAAAAATGTGTATACAGTGGGCCCTCAAGTTTCGTAAGCTTTGCGTTTTGTAAATTCTGCCTTTCGTAACGTTTTTTCATCAAAATATAGCCTCGTGGTTCGTAATTTGCCTCGGCATTCGTCTGTTGTCTTGCAACTGCTAAATAAGCCAAAAGAAAGCTGCTAGTGCCAGCCCTTTGGTAAAGAGGGCGAGAAACACGAAAGAATTCAAGAAAGAACACACCAGTCAGGGTACTTCCCCACACACACACCAGCCAGGGTACTTCCCCACACACACCAGACAGGGTACTTCCCCACACACACCAGACAGGGTACTTCCCCACACACACCAGACAGGGTACTTCCCCAAACACACCAGACAGGGTACTTCCCCACACACACCAGACAGGGTACTTCCTCATGCACACCAGCCAGGTTACTTCCCCACACACACACCAGCCAGGGTACTACCCCACACACACCAACCAGGGTACTTCCCCACACACACACCAGCTAGGACTTCCCCCGACACACCAGCCAGGGTACTTCCCCACATATACGATTTGATTTGGGACTTGCACATGAGTGAATAGAATTATCAGAGCTTATTGCTTGGGGAGCATTGAAAATTGGGTTGGGCAAATATTCTGTTAGTGGGATGGTTTGTGAAGGACCTGCCTAGTATGGGCCAACAGGTCTGCTGCAGTGTTCCTGCTTTCTTATGTTCTTATGTACACCAGCCAGGGTATTTCCCTACACACACCAGCCAGCGCACTTCCCCACACACCAGCTAGGGTACTTCCCCACATACACGATTTGATTTGAGTGGGACTTGCGCATGAGCAAATAAAATTAACAAAGCTTATTATTGCTTGGGGAGCACTTAAAATTGGGTTGGGCAAATATTGTTAGTGGGATGGTTTATGAAGGACCTGCCTAGTAGGGGCCAACAGGCCTGCTGCAGTATTCCTGCTTTCTTATGTTCTTATGTACACCAGCTGAGGAAATTGCTTCAGAGGAGGAGGAGGAAGAGAGAGGGAAGAAGGTGCCTTCTTCAAAGATTAAGGACATTTGTGCAAAGTGGAGTGAGGTGCAAACATTTGTAAAGGAACATCACCCTAACCCTCTCCCCTCCTCCCATCTTCCATACACCAACAAGAGTCTTCAATAAAGGTAAGTGTGATGTTATTGTTTTATACTTGATTTCTCATTTTTTCTGTATATATGTATAAATCTACATGTACATTAATGTAAAAAAAAAAAATATTTGTTGGTAATACTGTTGGGTGCCTGGAACGGATTAACTGGATTTACATTATTTCTTATGGGGAAAATGGTTTCCCCATTCGCAAATTTTGACTTTTGTCAGACTCTCTGGAAAGGATTAATTACAAAATTCGAGGGTCCACTGTTAGATAGGAGTGAATGGAAACGAATGGTATTTGGGACCTGACGAGCTGTTGGAGTGTGAGCAGGGTAATATTTAGTGAAGGGATTCAGGGAAACCGGTTATTTTCATATAGCCGGACATAAGTCCTGGAAATGGGAAGTACAATGCCTGCACTTTAAAGGAGGGGTTTGGGATATTGGCAGTTTGGAGGGATATGTTGTGTATCTTTATACGTATATGCTTCTAAACTGTTGTATTCTGAGCACCTCTGCAAAAACAGTGATTATGTGTGAGTGAGGTAAAAGCGTTGAATGATGATGAAAGTACAGTGGACCCCCGCATAGCGAACGCCTTGCATAGCGAACAATCCGCATAGCGGACGCTTTGTTCGCTAAAATTTTGCCCCGCATAGTGGACAAAAACCCGCTCAGCGGCCTTCGTCCGAGACGCGTCCAATGTGCGGCCTGAGCCACGCTCACATGTGCCGCCGGTGGCATTGTTTACCAGCCAGCCTCCGCGGTAACATCCAAGCATACAATCGGAACATTTCGTATTATTAGTGTTTTTGGTGATTTTTTTCTGGAAAATAAGTGACCATGGGCCCCAAGATAGCTTCTAGTGCCAACCCTACAGCAATAAGGGTGAGAATTACTTTGGAGATGAAGAAAAAGATCATTGATAAGTATGAAAGTGGAGTGCTTGTCTCCGAGCTGGCCAGGTTGTATAATAAACCCCAATCAACCATCGCTACTATTGGTGGTACAGCTGCTGCTGCTGCTGTAGTACCGTCTGCTGCTGCTGTAGCATCGTCTGCTGCTGCTGCTGTAGCATCGTCTGCTGGTGCTGTAACATCGTCAGTTGCTGCTGTAGCATCGTCTGCTGCTGCTGCTGTAGCATCGTCTGCTGGTGCTGTAACATCGTCAGTTGCTGCTGTAGCATCGTCTGCTGCTGCTGCTGTAGCATCGTCTGCTGCTGCTGCTGCTGCTGTAGCATCGTCTGCTGCTGCTGCTGCTGCTGTACCACCGTTGTTGGTGTGGCTTATTGAGAATACCAAGAAACAATTAACCCCAGAGGATTTGCCACCCAGGATAACCCAAAAAAGTCAGTGTCATCGAAGACTGTCTAACTTATTTCCATTAGGGTCCTTAATCTTGTCTCCCAGGATGCAACCCACATCAGTCGACTAACACCCAGGTGAACAGGGAAAATGCCTGGAACTAGTGCTCATATTGGTGAATTTAGAGCCAGCAAAGGTTGGTTTGAGAGATTTAAGAATCGTAGTGACATACACAGTGTGATAAGGCCTGTTCTGGAAGAAAATACCAAACAGGACCTACAGTACTCAGGAGGAAAAGGCACTCCCAGGACACAGTGTCTCATCAGTCATTGCTGCATCTTCAATAAAGGTAAGTGTCATTTATTCTTCATTTAGTAGAGTAGTACATGCACAATATATATTGTGCATGTACTACTCTACTTTTGTGCATGTATCCTTCTCTTTGTGTGTAGGAAAATGTCTATTTCATGTGGTAAAATTTTTTTTTTCATACTTTTGGGTGTCTTGCACGGATTAATTTTATTTCCATTATTTCTTATGGGGAAAATTAATTCGCATAGCGAACATTTCGCATAACGGCCAGCCCTCTTGCACGGATTAAGTTCGCTATGCGGGGGTCCACTGTATTTTCTTTTTGGGGATTTTCTTTCTTTTTGGGTCACCCTGCCTTGGTAGGAGACGGCCGACTTGTTAAAAAAAAAAAAAATATGATAGCTCTTTCATCTTTCTAAGTACATGTATCTATAATGGTTGGAAATATAAACACATATGCATTATAATGTGATCGTTTATTGACAATGTTTTGCCCACACAGTGGGCTTTTTCAAGTCACAAACAGATCTGTTTGTGACTTGAAAAAGCCCACTGTGTGGGCGAAACGTTGTCAATAAACGATCACATTATACTGCATATGTGTTTATATTTCCATTGTGTCGGTATTTTATACCATTTATTTCCATCTATAATGGTTACTGCTTGTTGTGCTAGTGTAGCAATTGGCAGGATCATGAGTCAAATCTAATAAAAGGCAGTTCTAGCAAGCCAGAAATTGAATGAATGATGGTAACTGTTTCCCTCATTAGGTTACCCTGCTTTGACAGAAGACAACCACTGAAGTAGAAAAACAAAACAAAAAAATAATAATAATAAATCTCCAAGGGGGAAGTGGAACAGAATTCTTCTTCCGTAAGCCATGCGTGTCGGGAGCAAGGGTCTAGTAACCCCTTCCCCTGCATACATTACTAAATTTAAAAAGAGAAACTTTCATTTTTCTTGTTAGGTCACCCTGCCTTGGTGGGATATGGTCAGTTTGTTAAAAAAAAAAAAAAAAAATGTATCTACTAGGCACAAGGCTTCTACCTGCCACTATGTTGTATGAAGAAGTAAGCCATATTTAGACATATGCTACACCTCCTTCAAAAAAGTATTATAAGATTATACTTACTATAGTATTCCTTCTCAGTGGTGGCTTTTGCATTAAAGCCGAAGAGTTGACACAGCTGCGTGACATCTTTGATGACTTCAGGATTGTATACGACTACCACATACCGTGGCTGAATCCCAGGCTGACTCAGAATTGTTTCTAAGGTGAGTGTCAACGTAGACAGAGATTCCCCAGCAATCACCATAATGGGGGTCATAAACATTGCACTGCCAACTAATTGTCGGTTTGTCAAAATGGCAGGTTTGAGGGGCACATTCCGCTGATCAACTGTTGACAAAAATAGTAATATTTGTAATTGTGACATTCAGAATTAAAAAAACTTGAAACTGTATTGACAGTTACTTAAGAGCACCTCATATAGCAAACATGAGTCCCTTGCCCAAATAAATTTACAAAGTTAGAAATTTCCACTCAAAAGATTTCCTTATTTTTTATCTTATATCTGACAATATATCCCAATATATTATACCTCTTGGGACAACCTGATAAAAGCCAACAATAAAGTACATTACCATCACATGTCAAAAGTACATATCATAATCCAAGAACAAAATCCGCTAATAACAATGCAATTATAAAATATGCATATACTACTGACTCATGAAATTGTAATAATACAACTGCAAACAATTCAAGGACTGGGTGGGTTTTGAACTCATAGCAAGTCCTTAATATGCTGACCAATGAGTTTTAGGACTCATTTGCCAGGGGTTCTAACCTCACCCATTTTGTGATAAGAATACACTGTATTGTAATACCTATACATTACGAAATGGCCCAGATATTAAAAGTACCCATTATACTTACAACATAATCATTCAATAGAGACCTTTAAGTACCTGAAAATACCATGTGCCATAGAACATACCAGTCCTAGCCTCAGACGGCTCCAGGAAATACATTAAGTATGAGATGCCGTGCTGAGCAAGCACCTCCAGTGCCAGAAGATTCCTGCCAGCCACCCAACAAATTGCCTCTAAGCAAGGTAAATGATTCCAAATACAGTGGACCCTCGACTAACGATATTATTTCATTTCAGACATCTGTTTGGGTGCCATTACCGACCGAATTTGTTCCCATAAGGAATATTGTGAAATAGATTAGTCCGTTTCAGACCCCCAAAAATTCACGTACAAAAGCACTTACAAAAATACACTTACATAACTGGTCGAGTTGGGAGCTGATCATTAGTCGAGGGTCCACTGTACAGTATTAAAATGATGCAAGCTATCTGTGGTTGACAACATTATTACTGTCAAATGGATTATCTCAAATGTTGAGTAATGACAAGTGCTGCCGAAGTTGACTGTTTGCTAACAGACTGTTTGGTCCAATCATAGCACAGCTTCTGGCTAAAAACAATCTCAAAATGGTTTACAGTACTGTAATTAGAACTGCTATGCATATTGGCTTTTAATGTCAGTTACTAGCAAACCATAAAGATGGGCTGTGTTATCTCATCCCAATGAATTTTAAAACTAGTTTTGAATAACATCATGAACCATGATGCTGCATGTCTTCTCAAGACATCTGTAAAACCTTTTTTGTGCATAATAAAACAGTGCCTGCACTCTGAAGGCGGGATGGGCATGTAGTAGTTTGCTGGGTCATCTGAATATCGATGTCAACACAATTGTGGCAAGACAGTAAATGAAGGAATGAGAGTGAATATGTTTGCTTTTTATGGGTCACCCTAACTTGGTGAGATATTGCCAATGAAAAAAAAAAATTATATTTACAATTTTAATCTTGACCTCATTCTCATTTATTTTTAACAAACTAGCCATCTCCCACCAAGGCAAGGAGATAAAAAAAAAAAAAAAAAGGAAACACATTCACCATCATTCATTCTTTTTTAAAGTGCTTATGTAAAATTGCACATTACAAGTACATATACATAGTATGAATATCTTATCTCAAAACAAATGTAAATTCTACATATACTGTATTTGTATTCCATATATTTTTAGATTCCCTAATTTATTAACATCAACTTCCTAACAGATACAATTCTGAGCAAGTAATGTGTTACAATAAGTTTCAAAAGTTCTGTTGGTAATTATGGACTTTCTTAGCTACACATGTAGTAAGTAAACTGTAAAACTATATTCCAATCAACTGTAATACACCTTCAGAAAATTACACTTACTGTATTTATTTAATCTGTATTCACTTCATGTGTATCCTATACAGTTTCTTCTCTAATCATATGTCTCAATCATGACATAAATAAAAATAAAACATGCTGTACTTACCCGAACAGAAATCAGAGATGTGGGAATGCTGTTCACAGAACTTTGATCGTGCATCATTCTGCATTACTTTTGGGTCTGGCATGATGACACGTCCACTCACTGATGAGAAATCTCGTCGAGTCAGAAATTTGAAACAATACTGTACCTCACCACACAGCAAAATGCTATACATATAAACATCACTAAGTCTCAATACTTTTTTTTTCTGAATGATTATCAGCATTTGATGTAGTACTGTATAAAGAGCACTAGAGCAGAAATATGTTGTCAATGAATTATTACTATACTCACAAAGTAGCACTAAACCCATATGGGTTATTCAGTGCAAGTGGTGAAAGCTCAATTCTCCGTTTGCTTATCTCAAAACATTGTCACCCTAGCTATACTCACCTAACTTGTTAATGAAGTAAAGTTTCTCAACAGCATTTTATTTTTCTAGCATTTCTGCATCCACTTAAGATACTATAATATATTTACAGAAAACATGAATGATTAATTACAAAACTATGCTTTGGAAAATGCATACAACAGAGGACAGGGAAGCAATGTGGCTAGTGTTGCAAGTGTAAGGAATAGATGGTAAGGCTCAAGTTGGAGTATTTACAGATGAAGATGAATATTATCCAATAAAAAAGGGAGTTAGATGGAAATGTGTGATGTCACTGTGGTTGGCTAATGTGTTCATAGATGGGGTCATATAAGATGTAAATGCTGGGTGTTTGGAAGACGGGTGAGCTTAAACAGACAGAGAATAAGTTATAAAATGGGAGTGGTCAAAGTGACTGCAGATGACAGTGTTGTTGGGAGACTCAGACAATAAATTACAAAAGTTGGTTGAAGAATTCAGAAGTGTGTGTGTAAATGAAGGATATTGAAAGTAAATAAAAGGAGCATGGTCATGAGCACATGAAAATAAGAATGACTGACTGAATGACTGGAGATCAAATTGTAATGAAGACATATGGAGGAAGTGAATGTATTTAGATAAATAGGCATTAATGTATTTAGACATATAGGAGTGAATGTATTTACCTGGGGAGAGGTTTTGGGGCTCAACACCCCCACGGTCCGGTCTGCGATCAGGCCTCATTAGACGTATAGGAGTGAATGTATTTAGATACATAAAAGTTAATGTACAGTATTAGAAGAAGAGGCTGTGTAAGATGATGTAAAACATGAAATAGATAAGGAAAAGAAGGTAGATGAGGTATTAAAGAATTTGCATTTTTTTTTATTTTAATTAAGTGGAAGCACCAAACCCACAAGGGTAGTACAACATTTGAATAATGTGAAGTATTCAGGCTCAATCCAAGCAAGGGAAGGCTAAGTGCAGTTCCCTGGATCAAGAGCCCCTCACCAACATAAAGACACCTCACTTGAGTGAGAGAAATCTACAAAAAGAAATTGCCAATGGATGTAAAAATGAGAATGTATCAGAGTAGAGTACGAATTGCACCTCATGCTAGTGGCTCTCTTTTGTGTTTAACAATATTTTATCACATGTAAACTACATTTTGTATACTGCAGAAAGAAATAAAAATTTTGTCTGTTTGTTTGTACTGTACTGCCAACATTTTTGTATATGTATGTGTATATGAAGCATTGTCACTTGTATGTGGCTGCAAAGAGAAAATTGGAAACAGTAGATATGATGTCTGGGATTAATAACTGATGCGATTGTTATGCTCCTTGACTTGTGATGGGGTTACGTTCTGATGAACCCATCGTAAGTTGAATGTGAGTACAGTGGACCCCCGGTATTCGATATTAATCCGTTCCCGAGAGCTTATCAAATACCGAAAAAATATCGAAAAGCGAATCAATTTTCCCCATAAGAAATAATGGAGATCAAATTAATCCGTGCAAGACACCCAAAAGTATGAAAAAAAATATTTTACCACATGAAATATTAAATTTAATGCAATAGAATAATTACAATAACAAAAATAACAATAGAATAATAACAATAGAATAATTGACACTTACCTTTAATGAAGATCTGGTGATGACTGATGGGATGGGAGGAGGGGAGAGTGTAGATGGTGTTAGTGTTTAGAAGGGGAATCCCCTTCCATTAGGACTTGAGGTAGCAAGTCCTTTTTCGGGGTTACTTCCCTTCTTCTTGTAATGCCACTAGGACCAGCTTGAGAGTCACTGGACCTCTGTCGCACAACAAATCTGTCCATAGAGCTCTGTACCTCCCGTTCCTTTACGATTTGTTTAAAATGGGCCACAACATTGTCATTGTAATAGTCACCAGCACGGCTTGCAATAGCTGTGTTAGGGTGATTTTCATTCATAAAGGTTTGCAGTTCAACCCACTGTGCACACATTTCCTTAATTTTTGAAGTAGGCACAATGGATTCCACAACTGGCATAGGCTTCTCAGGGTTAGCCCCAAACCCTTCAAAATCTTTCTTAATTTCCATACTAATTCTCACCCTTTTTACCACAGGGTTGGCACTAGAAGCTTTCTTGGGGTCCATGGTGACTTATTTTGCAGAAACAAGCACCAAAAACAGTGATAATATGGAATGTACCGAATGTATCCTTAGACGCGCGCACACTGGCTGGCTTGTAAACACTGGCACACACGGGGCAGTTCAGGCCACACGTGGACACGTCTCGTACGAATCGTATCGAATACCGGGTTTTCAATCAGATACCGAGTCAAAATTTTTGCATTAAAATGCATTGAATACCGGATTTATCAAATACTGATGCCATTGAATACCGGGGGTCCACTGTATATGATAAATAAGTAAATAAATAACTACTGTCACTGAATAAACAAACAAATAATTACTGTAAATAACTAAATACCAGTACAGTGGACCCTCGACCAACGATGGCATCGTCTAACGTTAAATCCGACTAGCGATACATTTTAACTCAAAAATTTTGCCTCGACTAGCGCTAAAAAACTCGACCAACACGATTTGTTCCGTTCGAGACGCGTCCACTTGTGGCCAGTGTTTACAAGCCAGCCAGCCACCGAGGTCCCATCCAAACATACAATCGGAACATTTCATATTATCACAGTGTTTTTAGTGAGTGCACCTGCAAAATAAGTCACCATGGGCCCCAAGAAAGCTTCCAGTGCCAACCCTACAGCAAAAAGGGTGAGAATTACTATGGATATGAAGAAAGAGATCATTGCTAAGTATGAAAGTGGAGTGCGTGTCTCCGAGCTGGCCAGGCTGTACACAAAACCCCAATCAACCATCGCTACTATTGTAGCCAAGAAAACGGCAATCAAGGAAGTTGTTCTTGCCAAAGGTGCAACTATGTTTTCGAAACTGAGATCGCAAGTGATAGAAGATGTTGAGAGACTGTTATTGGTGTGGATAAACGAAAAACAGATAGCAGGAGATAGCATCTCTCAAGCGATCATATGTGAAAAGGCTAGGAAGTTGCATGACGATTTAATTAGAAAAATGCGTGCAACTAGTGGTGATGTGAGTGAATTTAAGGCCAGCAAAGGTTGGTTTGAGAGATTTAAGAATCATAGTGGCATACATAGTGTGATAAGGCATGGTGAGGCTGCCAGTTTGGACCAAAAAGCAGCTGAAAAATATGTGCAGGAATTCAAGGAGTACATAGACAGTGAAGAATTGAAACTTGAACAAGTGTTTAATTGTGACACTGACAATGTTGTGAAACACTTTAGGACTGTCATAAAGGAACGGGAGGTACACGCCTCTATGGACAGGTATGTTGTGCGACAGAGGTCCAGTGACTCTGAAGCTGGTCCTAGTGGCATTAAAAGAAGAAGGGAAGTAACCCCGGAAAAGGACTTGACACCTCAAGTCCTAATGGAAGGGGATTCCCCTTCTAAACACTAACACCATCCACACTCTCCCTTCCTCCCATCCCATCAATCATCACCAGATCTTCAATAAAGGTAAGTGTCATGTAATTGTACATGTCTTCTTCAGTTTGTGTGTATTAAAATTAATATTTCATGTGGTAAAAATTTTTTTATCAATACTTTTGGGTGTCTTGCACAGATTAATTTGATTTCCATTATTTCTTATGGGGAAAATTAACTCGACTAACGATAATTTCGATTAACTATGAGCTCTCAGGAACGGATTAATATTGTTGGTCGAGGGTCCACTGTATGAAATGTAAATAAATGAATACAAGTTAATCCTATCAATAAATGTACAGAACTGTACAGTACTGAATATGCTTTGCTAACGCATCATTGTAAAATCAAACCATCACAGAGTGAGAAGCATTTGTAGGAGACAATTTGGTAGTAGGTTGGTAGACAGCAACCACCCAGGGTAGTACTACCGTCCTGCCAAGTGAGTGTGAAACGAAAGCCTGTAATTGTTTTACATGATGGTAGGATTGCTGGTGTCTTTGGTCTGTCTCATAAATATAAAAGATTACAGGTATGTCTTGCTACTTCTACTTACACTTAGGTCACACTACACATACATGTACACGTTTATTTATACACACTCATCTGAGTTTTCTTTGATTTTATCTTAATAGTTCTTGGTCTTATTACTTTTCCTTTTATATCCATGAGGAAGTGGAATAACAATCTTTCCTCCGTAAGCCATGCGTGTTGTAAAAGTCAACTAAAATGCGGTGAACAATAGGCTAGTAACCCCTTTTCCTGTAATAATTACTAAAAAGAATAAGAATAAGAAATTTAAAAAAAACTAACAAGTTATTTTTATTACCGGTTATTTTTATTACCGGTTATTTTTATTACCGGTTATTTTTATTACAGGTTATTTTTATTACCGGTTATTTTTATACCGGTTATTTTTATATAGCCGGACTTGAGTCCTGGAAATGGGAAGTACAATGCCTGCACTCTAAAGGAGGGGTTTGGGATATTAGCAGTTTGGAGGGATATGGTGTGTATCTTTATGCATATATGCTTCTAAACTGTTGTGTTCTGAGCACCTCTGCAAAAACAGTGATTCTGTGTGAGTGAGGTGAAAGTGTTGAATGATGATGAAAGTATTTTCTTTTTGGGGATTTTCTTTCTTTTTTGAGTCACCACTGCCTCGGTGGGAGACGGCCGACTTGTTAAAAAAAAAAAAAAAAATTGGTGGCAGGAAAGATATAATACAAATGGATGTAGAGATGGGTTGGTCATGTAGAAATGGAATAGCTAAATTGATTGAAGTGTATATAAATCTAGAAGAGTGGAAAGTGTACATCACATCTCAGGAAGGGTAGGAATGACAAGTCTGACAGAGGCTTTGAGAAGTGGAGGCATGAGCATCACAGACATATGTGAGTAAATTACATAAGTGTAAGCAGAGGCATGTGGTTTTTGTTGTATAGTTGTAGGAGGGTGAGCTGGTACTATTTTTGTATACAAGGTCACCAAATGGCCAAAAAAGTGTAAATTTTTAAACAGAATTTTCAGCAAGTTTATCCATTGCATTTACAGATGTACTGACCCTGGTAAAATTGTACTTACAATTGTGCAGACCCTGGTAAAATTGTATTCACAGATGTGCTCACACTGGTAAAATTATATTTGCAGATGTGTTGACCCTAGTAGAATTGTATTTACATATGTGCTGAACCCAGAAACATTAAAATTACTCATGTTTTATATTCGCAGAAAAGTGTTAAATTCATAGGACTCGTGTAACACCATGGAAATGAGAGATAATCAGATCTGATCCAAGGAAGGAAAGAGTAGCCTCAATTCTTCTTTCTTTCTTTCAACACACCGGCTGTATCCCACCGAGGCGGGGTGGCCCAAAAGGAAAAACGAAAGTTTCCTTTTTTTTTTTTCCAAACAAACTGGCCGTATCCCACCAAGGCAGGGTGGCCCAAAAAGAAAAACAAAAGTTTCTCTTTTTCAAATTTAGTAATTTATACAGGAGAATTGGTTACTAGCCCCTTGCTCCTGGCATTTTAGTCGCCTCTTACAACGCGCATGGCTTACGCAGGAAGAATTCTGTTTCACTTCCCCATGGAGATAAGAGGAAATAAACAAGAATAAGAACTAGAAAGAAAATAGAAGAAAACCCAGAGGGGTGTGTATATATATGCTTGTACATGTATGTGTAGTGTGACCTAAGTGTAAGTAGAAGTAGCAAGATGTACCTGAAATCTTGCATGTTCATGAGACAAAAAAGGACACCAGCAATCCTACCATCATGTAAAACAATTACAGGCTTTCGTTTTACACTCACTAGGCAGGACAGTAGTACCTCCCTGGGCGGTTGCTGTCTACCAACTTACTACCTAAGAGTAGCCTCAATTACTTGGATCAAATGCCTTTCACTAGCAAAAAGCGCTTCCCCCTCCCCAGTAAAATTGAAAGAAACTTAAAAAAATGTAAAGGATAGTATGTTTATGCAACATGCTCAACAATAGCCCACATGGAGACAGAAACTCAGAGAATTAATTGGTCTGTATATTTCAACCTCTTCTTCTGAAGAGGACCCCAGAAGGGGGTCAAAATATACAGACCAATTAATTTTCCAAGTTTGTCTCCATGTGAGTTATTACTGGACATTTATAAGTGTTCATTACATTTCTTTAGTTATTTAATGCAACAGGTTAGTAGCAGAACATGAATAAGAAAATAACAGCAATGAAAGCATAGAAAATAGTTGAGGTAGCAACAGAAAGCAGTGCATACTCAAAAATTTGTGTATAAAGCAAACAGGAAGCATATTAATTTATGTCCTTCAAATTTATACTACCAAGAGTCCTCAGATTCCTCTCTAAGTGAAATCAGTAAACTAAATGGACTTTCTTTAGAAGAGATACGAGCTGTTTTGTAGATGACTTACAATGGCGAGGAACACACATGTGTTCATCAATTGGTGACCACAATCCACCTTTAGAAGCCTTTAAAGTTTCATAAGGTGAAAATCCCTTCATCCCTCGCTGCGAGATCATGAACCACTGACCTCGGAACTGGAGGTTCTGAATTTGACTGCTACCTGTAATAGTGAAATAAATGACATATATGTACAGCCTCTATTCACTCAGCGATGTACTCATTTACGGATGCCTCGGACTTACGACGGGCTCTCTGACCAGTATGCATACCTAAATAATGTATATTAGAGCTGATTTCCTCTATTCTGTTTATTATAATATACAGTACACTACTGTATAAAAATTTAAAAATATACCAGAAATGTTATACTGTAAATGGTGCAAAGGTGACATTAAAACAATATCAAAGATAGTTGACACAAACCCACTACCATTACAGTAAGCTCCTCACTCAGTGACAAATTCATTTACCGACATGGTCCTAGGAATGGAACTCCGTTGTTAAGCGAGGAGAGGTTGTACTTCCTTAATGCGGAATGATTTCAGTATGTTTAAGACCAAGTGTGCATGTTTTTGTCCAGTATTCTGCCCAACATTTAAATTTGTAAATATCAAATACCCAAATACCCAACTAAGTGAATAAGAAAATATTACTATTATTAATTACATTCACAGGTGAGTGTTAAATCCATAGGGCTCATACAGAGTCTGGGGTTATGGAAGGTATTCAGACTAGAGAATGAAAAGGCACAATACCGTGACCAATCTGATTACATGAGACTATACACAATAAAGTATGGAATTCAGTCACAGTGAATGGGAAATTCCATGTACTGTACTTTCCAAATTTCTCAAGCTCCATTTTCAAGAAAGACCTTGCTCTTTAAGAATGTGAATGAGAGATCATGAAAGTGAAGAACAAAAAGGCACAATACCGTGACTGGAACAATACACAAATAACCCCCCCCCCCCACAGAGGAGAGAGGAACTTACAATGACGTTTCGGTCAGACATGGACCATGTACAAAGTGACTTTGTAAATGGTCCAAGTCGGACCGAAACATCATTGTATGCTCCTGTCTCCCATAACTGGAGGTATCCAGGTATCCTCTGTGTGAGTTATTTGTGTGTCATGAAAGTGCTTTGAATTTATTGCCTGTTCTTTGTAGTTAAATTGCATATAAAGATATCACATTTCTTTTTATTAGTAGTATTAAAGAAAAAAGTGTTAAATCCATGTGGAGCATTAGTGATGTGTTTCTTGTATTAATTTTCTTGAACATTAACATATAATGAATGTAACATACTGTACCTAAATCAGCAAGTAAATTCTTAGCCATGACCCCTAAGTTTCTTGATGCTTCATCAAAGGTCATAGCAATGAGAATATCTCCTTCTCGCACCTCACGCATGAGGAACAACTCCATCTCACTCGAGTCCATTGCATATGTGTCAAAGTGGCGTGCATTTACGGGTTTCATGCGATGGGAATCAACGACCACCATGTTCATGCCTCGTCCACCATCATTGATGTCTTTCTGGATAACACTGTTAAAAATAAATGTGTAACCATTATTAATGTTGTTCTGCAATACTTTTACCAAACCTTCATCATACTGTGTGTCTTACAATATAGCAGAGCTCAACAGTAAAATAAAATACCATACACCAGGGGTGGGCAAACTGTGCCACACGGGCCGCATGCAGCCCGCCAAGATCAAGTCATATATACTCACGTATATGCAGCTGAATGAGCAAAACTTAGTTTGTTTTCCTCTGTTGAAAACACGAGCTCTTACACAAGCATTATCAGACAAGTACAGTTCCCAGTTGGCGGCACTGAAAGTTTGCCCACCCCTGCCGTAGACAACATAATCAAGTATTTCAGTTTAATTCATGTATAAAAAGCTTACTATTTCCCTGATACACATATCTTTGGCATGTCATCTTTGCTTTTGCCACTGTATATGTGAACAGGGAAGTGATCTTGTGGACACACATAATCCAGACCACAGTTTGGCAATATCTCCCCAATCTGCATGTACTGAGACACTATCCTTTCTCCATGGTCTGAAAAAAAAGTACAATGTGTATTACTAAATGCTACCTTTTAGTGAAGCTCTTTCAAGGTACTATATATTAGGAGAGTGCATGAAGCATGTGACAGAAAGAGTTGTGACAGGGTTGAGTAATATTTGCAAGGAGAGGAACATGGTATACAAAGAAAGCTTACACAAACCACCTTCATGGATGAGAGGAGAAAGCGTGATACAATAGAGGAAACAGAGAACAGAAAATGTAGCAGAACAAAAAAACACCACAGAGTGGTGTTTGTATTACAAAACAGTGAGTGTGTGTGTAATTACCAATTTGTAGTTACAGGAATAAATTTCAATTAAGGGCTTAAAAACTATATTTTATTGTTTTTTCTCAATTCACAAATGAAGCCTGCTTTTCCTGTTGATGGTGCAAGCCATTAACTGGGAAAGAAAACTAACAAGTACACAAAACATTAATGCACGTTTGAAGATACTCCTGAAACTATGTATTGTGCGAAAACAAAACCATTCACATTGCTAAACTCACAAACTAGTATTTAGTCACTTAGCCACAATACCAACTTACCTCATAATCTGTAATATTTTAAAGTTAAGAATTAATCTAAGTCTGCCCGAAATGCCTAGCCATGCTAGGTGTTCTAGTGGCCCCCTCTGTAATTAGTATTTTTAAAACATGTAAACCACACAATATCCAAATTCTATAAACTCAGCATTGAAATCCTTATAGAGAATAAACTTGATTTGATTTGATTTGATTTGATAAATATATAATACAGTATTAAAAACCACTATAATGTACATCATCTAAAAATCTTTGGTCTGTAATCTTCATTGTTATCACATGGAATAAAATGTTAAGCACACTTCCTCTTGGAACAAACACTATACAGTGGACCCCGCATAACGATTACCTCCGAATGTGACCAATTATGTAAGTGTATTTATGTAAGTGCGTTTGTACGTGTATGTTTGGGGGTCTGAAATGGACTAATCTACTTCACAATATTTCTTATGGGAACAAATTCAGTCAGTACTGGCACCTGAACATACTTCTGGAGTGAAAAAATATCGTTAACCGGGGGTCCACTGTATATGGAAACTGCATTAGCTACAAGGAAGTGTCACTGGACAACAAAAATTAAAATAAAAAAATAGGTATAATATACGTCTTATTACCTTGAAAAGGAAATGGAACTGTTGAATTTGCCTGGAAAAATTCAACTCTGTGAATGGGAGGGGATCCAAAGAAGAATTCATAAATGCCATACAATCCAAACCCGACGAAAACGGAGATTCCCATGAAGCCAACATGACGAAATGCAGATGCTGCAATATTACCAAAAAAAAAAAAAAATATATATATATTACTCCATGTATACATATGCCATTCCTTTCCCAAGTAAATAAACATACAAAAGAAACTAGAAAATCCAAAAGAAATTATCAATATCATCAGAACTGCTTATCATACAATATACACAGTACTGTAGTTTAAAGTTTAAAGACCTACAGCACAGCTCATAGATACATGCAGAGATAACCACAGTATATATTAAACTGGATCTGCAGCACTTTCTTGTCATCAGCTAAACATCTTCAAAAGAAAGTGACAAGTACAAAGTGAACAAAAACGAAGTAAAAGAGAGTGAGTCTGAAGTGTTTAAGCTCTTGACAGGAAACCTAACTTTGCTTAATGAGGAGATGTGATGTAAAGCTGATTAGACAAGACCTGCCTAGCAAGGGCAAATAAGCTTGTTGTAGTGTTCGTATGTTACGAGATGCTTCTAATTCTGACAGTCAAAGCTGAACCAATCTTGACATGGCAGCATACACATAATCATGAGACATGTCCCTGAACCTGAAGACTACGTTCCCTATCGAGAAATTTTTAATTTCAACATACCAGGACCAAAATAAATGGTACATTTCAACTCATGTAAAATAAGAAATAATTCAAGAATGTTATGCTCAACAAAAGACATGAATTATATTTTCACCCTACCAGGTGATCTGTTTAATATGAGAGAACAGAGCATCGGAATCCTTTACTACAGGCGAGCGGTTAATTGCATGAAAGGACTCGTGCATTATATATAAAATTAAATGTGATGTCGTATATAAAAATTACTGTAATATCAACTAACAATATTCTCTGCAAAATCAAAAAATTAAAACTACTGTAATATAAACATTAAAACTACTGTAATATAAACTAAAAAAAATCACTGTGATGTCAAACATGAAATTCACTGTGAAGTCCAATCTAAAATTCATTGTGATATCTAATCTACAATTCAGTGATATCCAATCTAAAATTCACTGTGATATCCAATCTAAAATTCACTGTGATATCCAATCTAAAATTCACTGTGATATCCAATCTAAAATTCACTGTGATATCCAATCTAAAATTCACTGCAATATCCAATCTAAAATTCAATGCAATATGCAATCTAAAATTCACTGCAATATCCAATCTAAAGTTCACTGTGATATCCAATATAAAATTCACTGTGATATCCAATCTAAAATTCACTGCAATATCCAATCTAAAATTCACTGCAATATCCAATCTAAAATTCAGTGTGATATCCAATCTAAAATTACTGCGATATCCAATCTAAAATTCACTGTGATATCCAATCTAAAATTACTGTGATATCCAATCTAAAATTCACTGTGATATCCAATCTAAAATTCACTGTGATATCCAATCTAAAATTCACTGTGATATCCAATCTAAAATTCACTGTGATATCCAATCTAAAATTCACTGTGATATCCAATCTAAAATTCACTGTGATATCCAATCTAAAATTCACTGTGATATCCAATCTAAAATTCACTCTGATATCACTGTGATGTGAAATTTATGTTGATTCTAATATAAAATTCCCACTATCAAATATAAAATGCAGCAATATCTGGTATACAATTCTCTTTTTAAATCAATATAAAATTTACTGTAATGTGAAATGTATAAAATTTAATGTGATCCAAAATATGCAATTAACTATTGTATTTAAATAAAAAAATAAAGCCTTCTCCCTTCCCTTGTCCTGCCACTGATGCAGCCATACACGAGAGCCCCGCTTACAGTGCTTTGCTTTACAGCATTTCGCTAATGCAGCGGTTTTCAACTGTACCCATGCTTCAGTTATTCAAACTTCCTATAATCACCACTTGCTATAAGCTAAGTATGAAAATATTTTAAGGAAAGTAATATGTGTACTGTATATGTATCTTTTAGGTCTAGCTCTATTGCTTGCTTATTATAATGTAAACATGTTATCAGGCTTTTATATGCATTTGAAGGTGAAAAAGGCTATGTTTCACTTTACAGCGGTAGCCCGGAACCTAACCTGCTGTATAAGTGGGGTCCTCAACATGCTGTGGATTCCATCTCACATTGGTCTTCAGATGCATGATAGAACTGATAAATTGGCTAAGCTGTATGCTTTCAAAGAGGGAGTAGATTACAATCTTGGCTTGTCAGGTAGTAGTTTGAGAACAATAATACGAAAAGAACTTCAGCTGAATTTTATGGACTTAAGGCTCAGGGAGATTGACACCAGTGAGTCCATCTATCATCATTCTATCATGCAGGAGGAGCCACATGTCTATGGTGCATCCAACAAAATAAGCAGACTCTTGGATGTCACTACCGCCCGGCTCCGGCTGGGTTACAAGTATCTTTGGCAGGTTAAATCACCACCACCAGATGTAGACCAAACGAAATGTAAACTTTGCCAGATGGATTATTGTCACACCCTGCGTCATTATGTACTGTAGTGCGATAAAATTAATGAATTTAGAAACAACTCACTCAGAAGTGTTCAAGAAATGGCTAAGTATTTTATCCACAGTGGTATATTACAGACCATTCTGGAGAAATACCCTGACTTTGCTAGCTGTAAATAAAGCATTACCACATATGTGTGTGTACTCATTGTGTGTGTGTGTGTGTGTGTGTGTGTGTGTGTGTGTGTGTGTGTGTTTATGTGTGTGTGTGTATGACTTTGTATGTGTGTGTGTGTGTGTGTGTGTGTGTGTGTGTGTGTGTGTGTGAGAGAGAGACTCAGCAATCAACATTTGCACCAATAACTCACTACAGTTGTGACCGGGTGTGGAAGTGTGAATTGCTCATTACTCTAAAATTTGTTCATGATTGCAGCCATGTATAAACGTAAGTAACCATTCTTACAGTATTCATTACCTTTGTAACTTATGAGTTCATTACCTTTGTAACTTGTGAGTTCATTACCTTTGTAACTTGTGAGTTCATTACCTTTGTAACTTGTGAGTTCATTACCTTTGTAACTTGTGAGTTCATTACCTTTGTAACTTGTGAGTTCATTACCTTGTACCTAGTTCAGCCATCAAAACTTTGGAGCCCGGTCCCTGGACCCATTGTGTACCTCTGTAATCTGTAAATACCTTTGTAACTTGTCATGATTGTGACTAGACCTACCTGGAGTTCATTACCTTTGTAAATTGTGAGTTCATTACCTTTGTAAATTGTGAATTCATTACCTCTGTAACTTGCTCAGCTATCAAAACTTTGAGGCCCAGTCCCTGGACCCATTATGTACCTCTGTAATCTTTTGACTACCGCCCACAGGATGGGTATAGGGTGCATAATAAACATATTAAACTAACTAACTCAACAAACTATTACAGCAGGTCAGGTATTACAACAATAATGACTTTCCATGAGGTAAGTTTTGGTACTTTAAAAATAATATAACAATCTGTTCAGACATACTGTACTCTATTAATTTTATTGGTCCAAATAACTTACCAATCGAGATTCTCTTCATGAGAGCTATGGAAGAAAACATAGATGTTAATTTATGTTAGAACCCGAGCTAAATGGTAAAGAATTTAAACATATCAAATCCAACAGGTATTTAATTATTGTAAACAGAATTACATGTTTAATCAAACTTAGTGCTACATGGCGGAGGTGGAAGAGGTAGTAGAAATAGAGAGGTGGAGAGGGAAGGGCATTAGCATGAAGGTAGACAACTGCAAAAGTAGACTAGTGGAAATAAAGACACTGGTAGTGGAGAATCCTTTTAAAAGGTTTCACCCAAGGCTGGGTTTTATCATGTATGTTACTTGATAAAGCCCAGACCTGGTGAAACACTGAATTAAAAGGATTTTCTATTTCCAGTTTCTCTATTTTCACACTGGCAGGAAGTTCACTACTATAGTCAGAATGCTCCTGCTAGTAAGTTTATTCATGTACAGATCCACATAAGTACAACTATCATACATAGTAACATGTGTAAATTACCGAGGATAATCCCAAAAAAATTCAAAGTGACTTAAACAAAGTGAGTAGGATCTGAACCTTTGTTAAACATGACAATACGTCAACTGCCTTACTAGCTCAGCCAACACACCACTAACGTTTTTATTAGTAGAAGTAAATTTTGTTTGCATTATTAGATTGGAAAGGTTAGTAGCCGGGGTAATCCAATAATGTCAGTCTTCGAGAACTGCTTTCTAATTTCAACCGAGTCCTTCAATCCTCTCCCCCAGGATGCCACCTACAACAGTTAACTAACATCTAGATACTGTACCTACTTACTACTAGGTGAAGAGAAGCAAGTGTAAGGAAACATGCCCATCGTTCCCGCTCATCTGGGGATCGAACCTTAGTCCCTCAGTGTATGAGTTGAAGCTGCTACCATGTAGCAGCCTCAACCTGGAGTATACCAGGTATACCTGGAGCATACCAGGTATACTCCAGGTATGCCTGGAGAGGGTTTTGAGGGTCAATGCTCCCGCAGCCCCATCTGAGACCAGGCCTCATGGTGGATCAGGGTCTGATCAATCAGGCTGTTACTCCTGGCTGCAGTACTAGCATTACATTCACAAAACGTCCTAAACCCATATGGATTACTCAGCAATACTTGATAAATTAAGAAAAAAAAATCTACACCAAAGGAAATAAGTCACTTTGACTTTTTTGGGTTAAACTGAGTAATTTACACATATATATGATAATTGTACTTATGTGTACCTGAACTTAAATAAACATAATCAAATAATATTAACAAACTTCTTTTTATCTATAAACTGCTACCAAAAATTTTTTTCACTTTACCTGTCATTACTATTTTTCTAAATAAGATAAAACAGTTGCACACCTATGTATTTATTATCAGGCAGTTTGTCCGTCAAACTGCCCAAAATACTACGTCAGTAAGTTCGTTTAGGCACGGATACACAGAAGTACAGTTGCACAAATACGTAGAGGTAATTACAGTTATCGTACATAGTAACGCAGTGCTGTATGACCCTTGTAGGTTTAGTGC